AAAACACAAACGCTGGGGAATAACAAATAAGGGGGAAGGATGGCAGGGAAAAGAGTAAAAGAAGCATAAACCGGGAACATCTTTAGCTCTCAAAAAAAAACCCAAGCTTTCAGGTAGTTTAACAATGCCATTTTTTCCAAAGGGGGAAAACCAAAATCCTGAGGAAAGAAAAAGGGGGAACAGGGGGGTGGGGGGTTGGCATTGCTGATCAAAAATCGCTGGAATTTTATGACCCTGGAGAGAGAGACAGCGGGAAGAAAGTGATTAATAAGGGGGGAAAAGCTTTTACCGGGGGCCCAAGGTGGTTAAGCATGATTATAAAACCCCCCACAAAACAGCAAAGGGGGCCAAGGCAAGAGTACACGAGAGCAATAGAGCGGGTGGTTGACACACGGCTGCAGTGGCCAGAAAAAGCTCAAGCAAGCAGGGGAAAGCTCCTGATCAAGGTGGGCTTTAAAAACCCCAAAAAGGGGAAACGATTGGGGGAACTTGGACCCCCCTGGGGCCAAATACATGGGGGGCTAAAAATATGGAGGGTACTGTAAAACTTCATGTGCCAACACGTAAGGGACACTAAAAAAGAGAGAGAGGAGAGGATGAAAACCCCAAAGGGTGGACTTTGTAACACCTTGAGGGAGTGCAGATATTAGGACATCAAATAAGAAAAACCCCCCTTTGGGGGCCCGGACCATGTGGTTTTTAAAACTTCGAATACAAAAAGGGGGCTACAAGTGGAGGGGGAAGCAGGAAAAGGGCCCGGGCGAATGAGCCAAACTACAAGAAAGGGGACTACCCAGGAAGAGGGAAATTTTGAAAGGGGTTCAGTGGGAAAAGAGAAAATGCAGGGAAGCCCGTTTAATGAAAGGGGGAATAGTAGCAACAAAAAGCCCAAAACGAGGGAAAGGTTTGTACCCAAGGGGAACAGAAAAATGAAAAAAACCAGGGTGAGCCCATGGGTTTAACCCCCAAAAGGGGCCGGGGGGCAAAAACCCCGTGTGCTAGGGGAAAGGAAAAATATAGAAACAAAAGGACCCAGGAGAAAAAGGAGGCCCGTTTGTAGAGCCAGAAACGAAAAATGCACAGATAAGAAGGGAGGGCCCCCAAAAACAATATGAAAACGACATAGCAGCAAAAGGGCCCAAAACGGGCCCGAAACGTTGTACAGGCCCCCATCCGGGGGGAAAACAAAAAATCAAGGGCCCGGTAAACAGGCTAAGGAAGGAAAGGGGGAGAGACAACAAGAATGACTGTGAAGTATGTGAGGGAAATCAACAAGAATTCAAAAAGTGTTCACAGAGGGGAAGAAGGGGCTCCAGAAAGGGCGGAGAGGTTGGGGGACACCACCATGTGCTGGACACAGTGCACCCCCAACCGAGGAAAAAGTGAAAAAAGGCTTCTGAGTGAGCCTTTGATACCTCAAAGGGAAAGGGCCAGATAACCCTCTCCCCCTGGGGGCCAGAAGAGGGAGCAGAGGCGCATGTGTCCCCTAACAACAATAAATTTAATACATCTAAAGAAACAGGGAGATTGCCTGAGGGGTTGGGGAAAAAGCAAATTAGTTTCCCCCTCTTTTAAAAAAAAAGACAAAACATGAAGCATTAAACTACAACCCCGGTCACTGACATGTAAAAGTAGCAAAATCATGGGGAAATTTTCAGGGGAAAAAAGTGGTGGAACACCTAGAAAGGGAAAGATCTCATCAAGAGCACCAACATGGTTTCAGGGACGGGGAAAAACCCGTGTCCCCAAACCTACTGGAGTTCTATGACATGGTGCCCGCATAAAAACAAAGAAAAAGGGGGGGGTGGATTTCTTTTTTGGCTGCAAGAAGGCGTTTGACCCCATTCCCCAAGAGATTGGTGCAAAAACTGGAGGACCAAGCAGGGAAACAGGGGAAGGGACTACAAAGGGGTCAGGGGAAAACTTGTAAAGGGAAAACAGCAGCGAGTCCCTGTAATTTCCCAGGGGTCAGAGTGGGCTCCTGGGGACCCACGGGGTCCCCCCAGGGGTCAGTCCCCAGGACCAGTGCTGTTTTTTGTTTTTTTTGAACGGCAAAAGACGGAAAGAAAGTCTCTAGGGGTCCCCCGTTGCAAAATTACGTGAAGTTTTAAAAAGAATTTACTCGACGAAAAAACCAGGGAGAACTACAAAGGGACCTGGGCAGGCCGGCAGACCTGGTCCAGCAATTGGCTCCTGGAGTTCAATCCCACCAAGTGCAATGTCATGAAGATTGGGGAAGGGCAAAGAAGACCGCAGACGGAGTACAGTCTAGGGGGCCAGAGACTACAAACCTCACTCAAGGAAAAAAGATCTTGGGGTGAGTATAACACCAGGCACATCTCCTGAAGCGCACATCAACCAAATAACTGCTGCAGCATATGGGCGCCTGGCAAACCTCAGAACAGCATTCCGACATCTTAATAAGGAATCATTCAGGACCTGTACACCGTGTACGCTAGGCCCATATTGGAGTATGCGGCACAGTTTGGAACCCACACCTAGCCAAGCACGTGAAGAAACTAGAGGAAAAGTGCAAAGGTTTGCAACAAGACTAGTCCCAGACCTAAGAGGTATGTCCTACGAGGAGAGGTTAAGGGAAATCAACGACGACACTGGAGGACAGGAGAGATAGGGGGGACATGATAACGACATACAAAATACTGAGAGGAATTGACAAGGTGGACAAAGACAGGATGTTCCAGAGATTGGACACAGTAACAAGGGGACACAGTTGGAAGCTGAAGACACAGATGAATCACAGGGATGTTAGGAAGTATTTCTTCAGCCACAGAGTAGTCAGTAAGTGGAATAGTTTGGGAAGCGATGTAGTGGAGGCAGGATCCATACATAGCTTTAAGCAGAGGTATGATAAAGCTCACGGTTCAGGGAGAGTGACCTAGTAGCGACCAGTGAAGAGGCGGGGCCAGGAGCTTGGACTCGACCCCCGCAACCTCAACTAGGTGAGTACACACACACATACGCACACACATACACACACACACATACGCACACACATACACACACACACACACACTTGGAATATAATTTTTATAACACTAATCATCCTGTCAGAAAATTTTAATTAACACTCGGAATAATACAAGCAAATCCAGGTGAATCCTCGTGAATACAGGTGAATCTAGGTGAATCCTCGTGAATCCTCGTGAATCCTTGTGAATTCAGCGTATATATATATATATATATATATATATATATATATATATATATATATATATATATATATATATATATATATATATATATTATATATATATATATATATATATATATATATATTATATATATATAATTATATATATATATATATATATATATATATATATATTTATATATATATATATATATATATATATATATATATTATATATATATATATATATATATATATATATATATATATATATATATATATATATATATATATATATATATATATATATGCTTCTACTTACACTTATTACACTAAAATGTATGTATACATGTACTGCGTGTATACATGCATGTATACATGTACTGTATGTATACATGCATGTATACATGTAATGTATGTATACATGCATTATACATGTACTGTATGTATACATGCATGTATACATGTACTGTATGTATACATGCATGTATACATGTACTGTATGTATACATGCATGTTTACATGTACTGCGTGTATACATGCATGTATACATGTACTGTATGTATACATGCATGTATACATGTACTGTATGTATACATGCATGTATACATGTACTGCGTGTATACATGCATGTATACATGTACTGTATGTATACATGCATGTATACATGTACTGTATGTATACATATTACTCTTCCCAAGCATTTTATTTTATTGTTGTTCACTCTTAGAGAGTTTTATTACTGTGGATTATTGTTGATTATTTCTTTCAATTGCTGGAAAAATAACATCCCGTAAGGTGGGTCCTGGACGGGTCCTGTACAGGTCCTGTATAAGTCCTGTACAAGTCCTGTACAGGTCCTGTACAGGTCCTGTACAGTTATGATGTGTGTATCCACGACGTTAGGATTTTATGTAAACAATGAAATTAACAGGAGGGTAATGAGGCCTGGTCTCAGACCTGGCCGCGGGGGCGCTCACCCCCGAAACCCTCTCCAGATATACTCCAGGTATGATATGAGAGAGAGGGAGACAGCAGTTAATAATTTATCAGGAAATAGCAGAGGTATAAATTAGTAGATTACAACCTTGGTAAGCACATTCCGTTTTCTGTGTGACTCTCAGCTTCCCGTTTTTTATTGTTAATGGAAGAGTTGTGAGGGAGGACTGTGGTAAAACCCACAGCTGTCAAGACTGCTTGCCTAACCCTTGGGCACGACCTACTTCCACAATGGTCAAATGTGACACCACCTACGACTGCTGTACCTCTCCTGCCTACAGTATATAAGCTACTTCTCCACACTTATGCTGTATTCTTTTCAAGATTGATGGACTGACCACATCAACTCAAGGCTGAGGGACTGATTACCTCAGACTCCTCGTGTTCTTCACCATTCTCCTTTGTAAGGACTGATGAAGCCAATGTGTGGCGAAACGTTTCCTCAATAAAGATACCCATGAGTTGCACATGTGCCCAATTTATCAAAACCCTGGGTAACAACCCCCGGATAGCATACCCTTGGATAACAAACCCCCGAATAACAGCCCCCTGGATAACAAACCCTGGATAATAAAGGATTAAAATCTGCCTTAGACTGGTTCAAAAACTTTATTACACACAACACATAAAGTCAGAATAAAAACCGTAAATACCCAGAGACGAAGTCTCCCCCGTGTTTACCGCTCCTTCAATGTAATTAATATATATAATATATATATATATATATATATATTATATATATATATATATATATATATATATATATATATATATATATATATATATATATATATATATATATATATATATATATATATATATATATATATATATATATATAGTTAGTCTATTTCTTGGTTTTTTTTTTTTTTGTAAGACTTGACCTGCTGGTCTTTAGTAAGTCTTGCAAGACTTGCTGGTGAAGGAGGCTTGGCTAAGTGGGTCTTTGTTCAACACTTTTCGCCCCCTCCCCACCCATTGACGTGGTCGAAAAGTAGCTATAGTCTAGTCTTACGCTGTTTCGTTTGTCAGTGTTATTGCTGTTAACGTTGTTGTTCTTGTTGCTGCCTTTGTTGTTGTTGATGCTGCTGCTGTTGTTGCTGTTGATGCTGGTGGTTGAGAGGTTTGTAAACCTTCACGGGAAACCTCCTTATTGCCCCCCCCCTCTCTCTCCTGGTGGGGGGACAATATCATGGTGACAGGCAGGACACAGTGCTGTCCTGTTCACGGTCTGTCCTCTCACCACCACCCGCTGACCTTACCTTTTTCCGGGTCACGAGACTGAGGTCTTCCCTTGGTCTCCTCTCCACCCACTCCTCCGTATGCCTGACAACCCTGGGTGTGACCAGAAAGCACTTTTAGGCCCCAGGAACTTCTTGAGGAGATTTCAGTACCACTTTTAGGCCCCAGGAACCACTTGAGGAGATTTCAGTAGCATTTTTAGGCCCCAGGAACCACTTGAGGAGATTTCAGTAGCCCTTTTAGGCACCAGGAACCACTTGAGGAGATTTCAGTAGCACTTTTAGGCCACAGGAACTTCTTGAGGAGATTTCAGTAACATTTTTAGGCCCCAGAAACCACTTGAGGAGATTTCAGTAGCACTTTTAGGCCCCAGGAACCACTTGAGGAGATTTTAGTAGCACTTTTAGGCCCCAGGAACCACTTGAGGAGATTTCAGTAGCACTTTTAGGCCCCAGGAACCACTTGAGGAGATTTTAGTAGCAGTTTTAGGCCCCAGGAACCACTTGAGAAGATTTCAGTAGCACTTTTAGCCTCAGGAACCCCTAAAGAAGGTTTCAGTAGCACTTAAAGAACACAGAAATCCAGAAAGGAGGCTTTAATATCACTTTAAGGACACAGAAACCGAGAGAGGTGTCATTGTCACTTTAAGTTCCCGGAAACACCAAGACCAGGTTTCGGCATCAGAGCGAAACACTGCCCTTTCAATTTTCACTAGAGAAAAGTGAGAGGGCACATATCGTCACGGAGTTTTCACGGCGCTGTTGGCTCCCCTACGGCTTTACCGCTCCCCCAGTGTGGCAGCAGGGTACCACAGCCTCCCCCCTTCCACTAGGGGGCTGGAGAGTGCCCCTGGCTCTCAGGGTCACATCCTGCCCAATATTCAGGGGCATTTTTAGGGTAGCCAGCTGCAGGGCGGATCAATTTGTTGTTGTACCTCCAGAACTGATACCCTCTGAAGAAGTACGACTCTCCTGAAAGAAAGTACGTGTATAAGTACGTATTTGTAGTGTGTAAGTACGTGTGTGTAGTATGTAGAGCTTTATCAAGTCATGTTTCACTCTGTATAGAGCTTAATAAAAGTCAGGACATAGTTATCAATAGAGGCACACGATACCATAATAAGTGTTATTTTACCAGCATTTCTCTCTCTCTCTCTCTCTCTCTCTCTCTCTCTCTCTCTCTCTCTTTTCTCTCTCTCCTCTCTCTCTCTCTCTCTCTCTCTCTCTCTCTCTCTCTCTCTCTCTCTCTCACTCTCTCTCTCTCTCTCTCTCTCTCTCTCTCTCTCTCTCTCTCTCTCTCTCTCTCTCTCTCTCTCTCTCTCTCTCTCTCTCTCTCTCTCACCGTCAGAGTAAGTGAACGCTGCGTCAAGGTTGTTGGGTAGGCCATTCCACTTCGTTATATTCTTAGGGTATCCGTCGTCCATACGACCCTCTGCGTCGTTGTACCGGTAGTACCAGTCACGGCTGTGGTGGAGGCGAGGAGGAATTAATGGAGGAGGTACTAGCAGCAGTGTTGGATGGAGGAAGGGAAGGACTACTGGAGGAGGTACTAGCAGCAGTGTTGGATGGAGGAAGGGAAGGACTACTGGAGGAGGTACTAGCAGCAGTGTTGGATGGAGGAAGGGAAGGACTACTGGAGGAGGTACTAGCAGCAGTGTTGGATGGAGGAAGGGAAGGACTACTGGAGGAGGTACTAGCAGCAGTGTTGGATGGAGGAAGGGAAGGACTACTGGAGGAGGTACTAGCAGCAGTGTTGGATGAAGGAAGGGAAGGACTACTGGAGGAGGTACTAGCAGCAGTGTTGGATGAAGGAAGGGAAGGACTACTGGAGGAGGTACTAGCAGCAGTGTTGGATGAAGGAAGGGAAGGACTACTGGAGGAGGTACTAGCAGCAGTGTTGGATGAAGGAAGGGAAGGACTACTGGAGGAGGTACTAGCAGCAGTGTTGGATGGAGGAAGGGAAGGACTACTGGAGGAGGTACTAGCAGCAGTGTTGGATGGAGGAAGGGAAGGACTACTGGAGGAGGTACTAGCAGCAGTGTTGGATGAAGGAAGGGAAGGACTACTGGAGGAGGTACTAGCAGCAGTGTTGGATGGAGGAAGGGAAGGACTACTGGAGGAGGTGTTTGCAGTGGACTTAGGACCGAGGTGTAAATGCAATGTTTCTAGCACTCAGCAAACCTACATTAAATATTCGTAAATATATTGACTAAGAACTTGAAGGAGCGAAAAGAACCTTAAGGAGGAGGAGCGCCTCTACTCCAGTAGAAGACGTGAAGGAACGGGAACACTACGTGAGGAAGGAACGGGAAGACTACCTGAACATATCGTCTCATGAACATACCTAAAGAAGTAAGTCTTCTGGGCCCTGGGCCAGTAGAGTGCGGCGTCGATGCTGGTCTGGACCTGAGGGAGGCCCAGGTTGGTGAGGGGGAGCGGTGACCCCTCCACCAGCCGGTCACCATCATGTACGTAATAGTACTTCCCTGCAGGAAGGTCAACAATGTTTAGGTCATCAGGGGACTGATGTTTAAAAACATTTAAGACACACACACACACACACACACACACACACACACACACACACACACACACACACACACACACACACACACACACGCACACACACACACACACAGAGCAGGCCATGTGTCTATCGACAAGTGCTTTTGACAACTAGTAACCCTCCCCCACACACTTACCTATAAAGAAGATTATACTGCTGTCGCTGTACCTCTCAAAGACGGCATCTACCTTCTTCAAGAAGGTCGGAAGAGCCGGGAAGAGACTGCGTATGAGTGAAGGATAACCTTCACGCAGTCGTCCTCGTGCTGAGTACCGCCACAGGTACTGCAGGAACCAAAAACATAACTCGTTAGCTCAGCTAAAATGCAAATTAGACCAACATGGCCGAAGTTAGGTGAAAGTGGGTTAGGTGAACTTAGGTTAAGTTAGGTAACGTCAGTCTAGAGTTGAACACACATATGCGATACTTAGGATGTATTAAAGGACGCTTCACCCACTAGGGATAAACCCCTGTGGGTTTAGACACCGGGTTTGTGCCCTGCAACACTAGTGTCTCACAGTAACACAGTAACACCAAACAGTAGCACAGTAACTAGTAAAACAGTAACCAGTAATACAGTAACCAGTAACACAGTAACACCAGACAGTAACATAGTAACACCAGACAGTAACACAGTAACACCAGACAGTAACACAGTAACACCAGACAATAACACAGTAACACTAGACAGTAACACAGTAACACCAGACAGTAACACAGTAACACCAGACAATAACACAGTAACACCAGACAGTAACATAGTAACACCAGACAGTAACATAGTAACACCAGACAATAACACAGTAACACCAGACAGTAACACAGTAACACTAGACAGTAACACAGTAACACCAGACAGTAACACAGTAACACCAGACAGTAATACAGTAACACCAGACAGTAACACAGTGACACCAGACAGTAACACAGTAACACCAGACAGTAACACAGTAACACCAGAAAGTAACACAGTAACACCAGACAGTAACACAGTAACCAGTAACACAGTAACACAAGACAGAAAAACAGTAACTCCAGACAGTAACACAGTAACACCAGACAGTAACACAGAAACCAGTAACACAGTAACACCAGACAGTAACACAGTAACATCAGGCAGTAATACAGTAACACCAGACAGTAACACAGTAACACCAGACAGTAACACAGTAACCAGTAACACAGCAACACCAGACAGTAACACAGTAACACCAGACAGTAACACAGTAACCAGTAACACAGCAACACCAGACAGTAACACAGTAACCAGTAACACAGTAACACCAGACAGTAACACAGTAACACCAGACAGTAACACAGTAACCAGTAACACAGCAACACCAGACAGTAGCACAGTAACACCAGACAGTAACACAGTAACACCAGACAGTAACACCAGACAGTAACACAGTAACACCAGACAGTAACACCAGACAGTAACACAGTAACACCAAATAGTAACACAGTAACCAGTAACACAGTAACACCAGACAGTAACACAGTAACACCAGACAGTAACACAGTAACACCAGACAGTACCACAGTAACACCAGACAGTAACACCAGACAGTACCACAGTAACACCAGACAGTAACACAGTAACACCAGACAGTAACACAGTAACACAGTAACACCAGACAGTAACACAGTAACACCAGACAGTAACACAGTAACACCAGACAGTAACACCAGACAGTAACACAGTAACACCAGGCAGTAACACAGTAACACCAGACAGTAACACAGTAACACCAGACAGTAACACAGTAACACCAGACAGTACCACCAGACAGAAACACAGTAACACCAAGACAGTAACACAGTAACACACTAACACCAGACAGTAACACAGTAACACAGCTAACACCAGACAGTAACACAGTAACACCAGACGTACAGTAACTACAGTAACACCAGACAGTAACACAGTAACACCAGACAGTACCACAGTAACCAGTAACACAGCAGCACCAGACAGTAACACAGTAACACCACGACCCACAGTAACACAGTAACACAGTAACACCAGACAGTAACAACAGTAACACACCAGACAGTAACACAGTAACACACAGCAACACCAGACAGTAACACAGTAACAACCAGACAGAAACACTACAGTAAACACAGTAACACAGACCAGTACCACTCAGTAACCAGTAACACAGCAACACCAGACAGTAACACAGTAACACCAGACAGTAAACAGTAACACAGTAACACCAGACAGTAACACAGTAACACCAGACAGTAACACAGTAACACAGCAACACCAGACAGTAACACAGTAACACCAGACAGTAACACAGTAACACAGTAACACCAGACAGTACCACAGTAACCAGTAACACAGCAACACCAGACAGTAACACAGTAACACCAGACAGTAACACAGTAACACAGTAACACCAGACAGTAACACAGTAACACCAGACAGTAACACAGTAACACAGTAACACCAGACAGTAACCACAGTAAACACCAGACAGTAACACAAGTAACACAGTAACACCAGACAGTAACACAGTAACACCAGACAGTAACACAGTAACACAGCAACACAGACAGTAACACAGTAACACCAGACAGTAACACCAGTAACACAGTAACACCAGACAGTACCACAGTAACCAGTAACACAGCAACACCAGACACAGTAACACAGTAACACCAGACAGTAACACAGTAACACAGTAACACCAGACAGTAACACAGTAACACAGTAACACCAGACAGTAACACAGTAACACCAGACAGTAACACAGTAACACCAGACAGTAACACAGTAACACCAGACAGTACCACAGTAACCAGTAACACAGTAACACCAGACAGTACCACAGTAACACCAGCACGTAACACAGTAACCCAGACAGTAGCACAGTAACACAGGACAGTAACACAGTAACACCAGACAGTACCACAGTAACCAGTAACACAGCAACACCAGACAGTAACACAGTAACACCAGACAGTAACACAGTAACACCAGACAGTAACACAGTAACACCAGACAGTAACACTGGGTTATTCAGGCCTCAGCAGTGAAGGATAACACGCAGTTCTCACACCTTCTCAGAAGTGTATAATTTCTTCATTTATTTTTCACACTTCTCGTTGCTTCAAGCCAGTCAGCACTTCTAGTTCCAGCAGTCAGCACTGTGCTAGTTCCAGCAGTCAGCACTGTGCTAGTTCCAGCAGTCAGTGCTGTGCTAGTTCCAGCAGTCAGCACTGTGCTAGTTCCAGCAGTCAGTGCTGTGCTAGTTCCAGCAGTCAGCACTGTGCTAGTTCCAACAGTCAGCACTGTGCTAGTTCCAGCAGTCAGTGTTGTGCTAGTTCCAGCAGTCAGCACTGTGCTAGTTCCAGCAGTCAGTACTGTGCTAGTTCCAGCAGTCAGTGCTGTGCTAGTTCCAGCAGTCAGCACTGTGCTAGTTCCAACAGTCAGCACTGTGCTAGTTCCAGCAGTCAGTGTTGTGCTAGTTCCAGCAGTCAGCACTGTGCTAGTTCCAGCAGTCAGTACTGTGCTAGTTCCAGCAATCAGCACTGTGCTAGTTCCAGCAGTCAGTGCTGTGCTAGTTCCAGCAGTCAGCACTGTGCTAGTTCCAGCAGTCAGTGCTGTGCTAGTTCCAGCAGTCAGCACTGCGCTAGTTCCAGCAGTCAGTGCTGTGCTATTTACAGCAGTCAGTGCTGTGCTATTTCCAGCAGTCAATGCTGTGCTAGTTCCAGCAGTCAGTGCTGTGCTAGTTCTGTAGAATATGTCGTAGAAGTGGCTAGTGTATCATGCACACTATATCCCTCCTATGGATGGTAGTGGCTAGTGTATCATGCACACTATATCCCTCCTATGGATGGTAGTGGCTAGTGTATCATGCACACTATATCCCTCCTATGGATGGTAGTGGCTAGTGTGTCATGCACACTATATCCCTCCTATGGATGGTAGTGGCTAGTGTGTCATGCACACTATATCCCTCCTATGGATGGTAGTGGCTAGTGTGTCATGCACACTATATCCCTCCTATGGATGGTAGTGGCTAGTGTGTCATGCACACTATATCCATCCTATGGATGGTAGTGGCTAGTGTGTCATGCACACTATATCCCTCCTATGGATGGTAGTGGCTAGTGTGTCATGCACACTATATCCATCCTATGGATGGTAGTGGCTAGTGTGTCATGCACACTATATCCCTCCTATGGATGGTAGTGGCTAGTGTGTCATGCACACTATATCCCTCCTATGGATGGTAGTGGCTAGTGTGTCATGCACACTATATCCCTCCTATGGATGGTAGTGGCTAGTGTGTCATGCACACTATATCCCTCCTATGGATGGTAGTGGCTAGTGTGTCATGCACACTATATCCATCCTATGGATGGTAATGGCTAGTGTGTCATGCACACTATATCCCTCCTATGGATGGTAATGGCTAGTGTGTCATGCACACTATATCCCTCCTATGGATGGTAGTGGCTAGTGTGTCATGCACACTATATCCCTCCTATGGATGGTAGTGGCTAGTGTGTCACGCACACTATATCCCTCCTATGGATGGTAGTGGCTAGTGTGTCACGCACACTATATCCCTCCTATGGATGGTAGTGGCTAGTGTGTCACGCACACTATATCCCTCCTATGGAAGGTAGAAGATCTCATATATACTCAAAAGGCCTATGAACCAGGCCACAAAAACGGGGTTTACAGGGGTACATCTTGTTTAATATTCATCATTCATGTCTCAACTGTTTCCAACTTTTAATTCACAGAACAAGAACAAAAAAATTACCAACAAAACATGTACCTCAGGCCAAAGGAGACTCGAACCTATGAACGTTCAGGCAAAGAACTCAGTGTTATCCACATCTAGTGTTGATTACTGAATGGATTAGTGAAAATATGTGTTTGGGGGCTAATGCGTCAGATTCATAATAATAATGTTATATATTATGGTTGGAGGGGACATTTTAATGCCTGCAATATGTTTGTGTTTTTTCCAGTCAGTCATGCCAGCCATTTTCAGAGATGGCGGCCATCAACGAGCCTATTGAAAATAAATTAACAAAATCGATACATCCTTCTCTGACATCTTAAAAAAAAGAAGAAAAAGCTAATATGAATTTGAATTTGGTGTGTGTGGTTCTTGGACCACCTGGCAGCCAAAATGGCCAGCAAGGCGGCTCTAACTGCGTTTGTTTACGTTACCCTCCTGCCAAAAAGATCAGCTGTGGGCAGGAAGGTCGACAGTTTTGGTGCACATAACAGAGACAGAGGCAGGAAGAAATTACATTATCCCGACACCACATGTTTCATGCTAGTTCCTGTCTGTGTGTGTGAATACTCAGAGGAGTAACCTGCTTACATGTTCTCCTTTTATTATAGACTCGTGTGATGGAGCTAAGAACCACAAAGGTGTCTCAATAACTTGTGATTTTGAAAGACAAAGTCACAATACCATGGCTGGAACTATCCAGCAAAAAAGCCAGTACTTAGAGGAACCCTTGTGACGATGTTTCGCTCCCTCCTGGACCACTATTAAGCCACAACATAACTTAATAGTGAGTGAAGGATAGTTTTCAGCAGATACTATTATAGTGTTGACCATCAAGTCCTCTGCTATCTAACCTTCCCATGTACTATCATGTACAACCATGTACTATCATGTATTACCATATACTATCATATACTACCATGTACTATCATGTACTACCATGTACTATCATGTACTACCATGTACTACCATGTACTATCATGTAATATCATGTACTATCATGTACTACCATGTACTGTCACGTACAACCATGTACTGATGCTGCAGTGTGCTGCTTGCAGTGTTAGGTTAAATTCAGCGAGTGGCTCTGGTCAACTCGCCACTCAGGGGTAAATCCCACTACTCACTATAGGATTTAAAAAAGAAAAAGAAAATGAATTATGTTGTTATAAAACAGAGGATTGACAGGAATAATTAATACCAATAACGTGACTTAGAAGCCTCCATGTTGTCTCCCCCTCCTCCTCTATTGATCTCCTCCAGGTATATTCTGGCATTTTTTTCACTGTTTGCTGTGTTTTTTTTTTTAGTTTATTCCTTTTGTTTTAATAAATAATTTTAATAATAATAATAATAATAATAATAATAATAATATAATAATAATAATAATAATAATAATAATAATAATCACTTTAGGCGCTAGACCCGTAAGGGTCCTACAGTGTTAATTGTTTCGTAAGATTTCAAGAAATTTTCAGGGAATTTTCCGGACATTTGTGGCATACCACACGAAGCTTCAATTATTGTTCTTGACATTGTTTTATGAACAAGAATATTATGCAATTATCATGAGGGAGAGATTCACAGAAATTATTGGGAAGTTTACATTCTAAGAGTTAGATAACAGTAGTTTAAAGATTGTGAATTTAGTAACAATTGCTGTTTTACAAATTTACGCATTTGATGGCAGATGTGTGAGTGGCAGCTTGTGATGCAGTGTGTGATGGTGTTGAGTGGCAGATGTGTGAGTGGCAGCTGTGTGAGTGGCAGATGTGTGAGTGGCAGCTGTGTGAGTGGCAGCTGTGTGAGTGGCAGATGTGTGAGTGGCAGCTGTGTACTGCATGTGAGTGCGATTAGTGCAGCTGCTTCATAGTTCTCCCAGAATATATTTTAAATGGATGGACCTGTTCAGAAAAAGTATCATAATTTATTTTTTTAATTATTAGTGTTTGGCAACTTTATTCTTTTATCAAGTTAAATGAGTTAATAAAAAATTAAACCTTTACTCCTATTAATAAAATCAATAATGTTAGTATGTGCATGCTGAAAATTCGTAATAAATAAACGTAATAACTCTTGTAAGGTGCAATGATTCTAACTTATCATCTGGCAGTACTAAAAGTTCCTGTCCACCACCTTAGCACTCCAGTAATAAAGTTAAATAATTGTGTAACTTGGAGGTGCTTCCCACTGGACAAATTAGTGACAGTCACTTCTTGCACTCTGCAATAGATTTCTTCAGGAACTTTACCTTCCTGTCCCTCCCAACCTTCATCAGTATACAGTGATGGACACACCTCGTCTGAGGCATCTGCCGCTCTCATCAAAATTCGTAATGAACGAATGCTACACTTTAACTAACACAAGTATTTTGAAAATGGTATATTATACCGACAAGTTGAAGGTAAGACATATGTGCAACAGTTGGTTATCTCTATTCTTCAGTCAAATACAGAGGCAGCAGTCCCTCAGCCTGGAGAAGAGTTCAGCTCTATGGAGCTGAACTCTTCTCCAGACTGAGGGACTGATCACCTCAAAAACTATTTCTCCAAGATTAATGGACTGTTTACGTCATCTTCAATTCGCTACCATGCTTGCTGCCTCAGTATTTGACTTAAGAAACCTACTACTGTATAGGCAAAACATTTCAATCAGCACTAAAGATACCCAACTGTTGGACATGTATTTTACTCTTCAACCTTTAATAACACACAAGGGTTGGCAAGGTGCTGCTGCACCTGTGATCTTAGTATCACAGGATCACCAGGTGGAATCAGGATGTTTGTGTCAGGGAGAGGCGGGGTTTTAAAAGATGGGAACTGTTATATATGGCAAGAGTTACATCACTGTTGATCTTTGCTGATGACGCAGTACTTTTGGGGAGATTTAGAAGAGTTGCCTAAACAGTATGGAGAAGAACACAAGTAAACAGTGTGTGTAGTAGGCCTCAACAGCGTGTGTAGTAGGCCTCAACAGTGTGTGTAGTAGGCCTCAACAGTGTGTGTAGTAGGCCTATCATAAAGCAATAGATCTCACCTCATCTTTGAAGATAAAGAGTTCTTGTCTGAGCAGAGCCACGGCGTCGTAACTTCCGTGGCAGATGTTAGGCAAGGTGGGTGGTGGTTTTGTCGTGTCTCCTTCTTTCCTCTTCACCCACGACTCCTCTTCTTCCTCTTCCCACCTTCTCCGTTCTTCCTCCTCCCTCCGTCTGGCCTCCACCTCCTTCTTCCTGATCTCCTCCTCCCAGCGTTTCCTCTCCTCGTCCTCCTCTCGCTGCCTTTTCCGCTCCTCCTCACGTCGTCTCTCTTCCTCCTCCCTCCTCTTCCGATCCTCCTCGTAGAAGTCATCCTCCTTCTCCTCCTCTTCTCGCCCTCCATTCTTCCTCCTATCCACTCCATCTCCTTCTGGCGGAAGATTGGGCAAAGCAGGCAAGTCATCCTTCCGTCCACCCTTCACCCGTTTCATATGCTCTTCTACTGTCTCATAGTCACCGTGATAACTCACATGGTCACAGTCGTCACCTTCCTCTCTAAGCACACCATCGTCATTATCATCAACATCACCATCATTATCATCACCATCGTCATAATCATCAACGTCACCGTCATTATCATCATCAACGTCATTATCATCGTAAGAATTCTTACCATTGTCGCCGGCAGCGTCGGCCTGGTGGTCTTCGTCAGGGTAGGTGGCTGGGGTGGTCGTGGTGGTCGTGGTCGACTTGAAGTACTCGTCATCTCCATCAAGTTTTCGCTTTACTGGGAGAGGAAGGTGTAATTATTATATAAGTAGTAGCAGAAGAGCCAATCTCTCATATCCCAGTAACAAACATCCCAGTAACACACATCTCAGTAACACACATCCCAGTAACACACATCCCAGTAAACACATCCAGAAACACACATCTCAGTAACACACATCTCAGTAACACACATCCCAGTAACACACATCCCAGTAACACACATCTCAGTAACACACATCTCAGTAACACACATCCCAGTAACACACATCCCAGTAACACACATCCCAGTAACACACATCTCAGTAAAAACACATCCCAGTAACACATATCTCAGTAACACATCTCAGTAACACATCCCAGTAACACACATCCCAGTAACACACATCTCAGTAACACACATCCCAGTAACACACATCCCAGTAACACACATCTCAGTAACACACATTCCAGTAACACACATCCCAATAGCACACATCCCAGTAACACACATCCCAGTAACACGCATCCCAGTAACAAGCATTCCAGTAACACATCCCAGTAACATGCTGTCAGAACACAAGTGGAACACTGTAGCCAGGTTTCGAGTTACACAGGAGGATGGCTCCTTGAACACATCGTGGATTTAAGGACCTGAAACACGAGTCACCTTTAGACTTATCTAAGATCTCAATTTATTTTTTTTTCAGATCATCTATGTTTTCATAATTAATTTTTATGGCGGGGCATATCTTCCACCATTGGTATCTCTTCTTGGATGCCATGGTTAATATCCTAAGATGCAATAAGGTGACTATAAGATGGAAAAATAAACTAACACATGATCCAGTGAGGTCTGGGGTGTGTACACACAGTGAGGTCTGGGGTGTGTACACACAGTGAGGTCTGGGGTGTGTACACACAGTGAGGTCTGGGGTGTGTACACACAGTGAGGTCTGGGGTGTGTACACACAGTGAGGTCTGGGGTGTGTACACACAGTGAGGTCTGGGGTGTGTACACACAGTGAGGTCTGGGGTGTGTACACACAGTGAGGTCTGGGGTGTGTACACACAGTGAGGTCTGGGATGTGTGTACACACAGTGAGGTCTGGGGTGTGTACACACAGTGAGGTCTGGGGTGGTACACACAGTGAGGTCTGGGGTGTGTACACACAGTGAGGTCTGGGGTGTGTACACACAGTGAGGTCTGGGGTGTGTACACACAGTGAGGTCTGGGGTGTGTACACACAGTGAGGTCTGGGGTGTGACACACAGTGAGGTCTGGGGTGTGTACACACAGTGAGGTCTGGGGTGTGTACACACAGTGAGGTCTGGGGTGTGTACACACAGTGAGGTCTGGGGTGTGTACACACAGTGAGGTCTGGGGTGTGTACACACAGTGAGGTCTGGGGTGTGTACACACAGTGAGGTCTGGGGTGTGTACACACAGTGAGGTCTGGGGTGTGTACACACAGTGAGGTCTGGGGTGTGTCTACACAGTGAGGTCTGGGGTGTGTGTCTACACAGTGAGGTCTGGGGTGTGTGTCTACACAGTGAGGTCTGGGGTGTGTGTACACACAGTGAAGTCTGGGGTGTGTGTACAGACAGTGAGGTCTGGGGTGTGTGTCTACACAGTGAGGTCTGGGGTGTGTGTCTACACAGTGAGGTCTGGGGTGTGTACACACAGTGAGGTCTGGGGTGTGTGTACAGACAGTGAGGTCTGGGGTTTGTGTCTACACAGTGAGGTCTGAGGTGTGTGTGTCTACACAGTGAGGTCTGGGGTGCGTGTACACACAGTGAGGTCTGGGGTGTGTACACACAGTGAGGTCTGGGGTGTGTGTCTACACAGTGAGGTCTGGGGTGTGTGTCTACACAGTGAGGTCTGGGGTGTGTGTCTACACAGTGAGGTCTGGGGTGTGTGTCTACACAGTGAGGTCTGGGGTGTGTGTACATACAGTGAAGTCTGGGGTGTGTGTACAGACAGTGAGGTCTGGGGTGTGTGTCTACACAGTGAGGTCTGGGGTGTGTGTCTACACAGTGAGGTCTGGGGTGTGTGTCTACACAGTGAGGTCTGGGGTGTGTGTACACACAGTGAAGTCTGGGGTGTGTGTACAGACAGTGAGGTCTGGGGTGTGTGTCTACACAGTGAGGTCTGAGGTGTGTGTGTCTACACAGTGAGGTCTGGGGTGTGTGTACACACAGTGAGGTCTGGGGTGTGTACACACAGTGAGGTCTGGGGTGTGTGTACAGACAGTGAGGTCTGGGGTGTGTGTCTACACAGTGAGGTCTGGGGTGTGTGTCTACACAGTGAGGTCTGGGGTGTGTGTACATACAGTGAAGTCTGGGGTGTGTGTACAGACAGTGAGGTCTGGGGTGTGTGTCTACACAGTGAGGTCTGGGGTGTGTGTCTACACAGTGAGGTCTGGGGTGTGTGTCAAACACAGTGAGGTCTGGGGTTGTGTACACACAGTGAAGTCGGGGGTGTGTGTACAGACAGTGAGGCCCTGGGGTGTGTGTCTACACAGTGAGGTCTGGGGTGTGTGTCTACACAGTGAGGTCTGGGGTGTGTGTCTACACAGTGAGGTCTGGGGTGTGTGTCTACACAGTGAGGTCTGGGGTGTGTGTCTACACAGTGAGGTCTGGGGTGTGTCTACACAGTGAGGTCTGGGGTGTGTGTCTACACAGTGAGGTCTGGGGTGTGTGTCTACACAATCAACCAGCAATATGGAAGACGCTTGTTTACACTAAGGGTGAGACTAGGCCTCCAACACTCCCTAAAACAATTTTCTTGCCCCTAGGCTTAGTAGCCTCACCCTTAGGCTTAATAGCCTCATCCATAAGCTTACTAGCCTCACCCATAGGCTTAATAACCTCACCCATAGGCTTAATAGCCTCACCCATAGGCTTAATAGCCTCACCCATAGGCTTAATAGCCTTATCCATAAGCTTACTAGCCTCACCCATAGGCCTAATAACCTCACCCATAGGCCTAAGAGCCTCACCCAATAGGCTTAATTCAGCATGAAAGGGAAAACTCTCATATCAATGGGTCCTAAATAGATTTGCTCTGCATATTTGTCCTGTTTATGTAATTGTTATGTTTTTTATTGATAAAAGTTGTAACAGTGGTTAAAGGAGAATATTGCATAGTTATGTCTGGTACAGCCTGCCATGCGTTTTCACAGGTTTTGTACAGGGGCACATCAGCTCCTGCCACACACTTAAATATCAACCAGCAACGGCCATCAATGTTTAAGGAACGATATAGTTGCTTCTTAGAACTTTTTAAAGCCTATTAAAAAAATTACAGTTTCAAGGAACGTAACCCAATTTTTTCCTATAATCTTCAGTTCACTTAACATACCAATGTTCAAGTCTGTAAGCATCGTGTTATCCGGGAGTCTACAACAGTAATAATAATACTCACTGTAGAGCTCCCACATGGCCATAACATCATCGTAGTCCAGGGAGAAGCTGGGTTTGTAGCCTTTATAGTAAGGGAACATGATGGAGCCGGACACCGGGGAATGAGCCAGACCCAGCGAGTGACCGATCTCATGTACTGCTACCGTGAAAAAATCCAGTCCTGTAGGGAGAGTGAGGAGTGAGGCAAGTTGAGGAGTGAGGCAGAGTGAGGATTGAGGTAAGACAAAGAGTGAGGCAGGGTAAAGAGTGAGGCAGGGTGAGCAGTGAGGTAGGGGGAAGAGTGAGGAAGGGTGAAGAATGAGGCAGGGTGAAGAGTGAGGCAGGGTGAGCAGTGAGGCAGGGGGAAGAATGAGGCAGGGTGAGCAGTGAGGCAGGGTGAAGAGTGAGGCAGGGTGAAGAGTGAGTGAGTTGAATGGTTGTACATTGATCTAGATTGATTGTTAGAATGGTAACTGCTACCACACTTTCACTTGACTATGCATTTCCGACCAAGAGGCCGGTTAACAACGCAAATCTTTACTAATTACCACCCCATACAATACCTATTAACTACCACCTCATACAGCACCTATTAACTACCACCTCATACAATACCTATTAACTACCACCCCATACAATACCTATTAACTACCACCTCATACAGCACCTATTAACTACCACCTCATACAATACCTATTAACTACCACCCCATACAATACCTATTAACTACCACCCCATACAATACGTATTAACTACCACCTCATACAGCACCTATTAACTACCACCTCATACAATACCTATTAACTACCACCCCATACAATACCTATTAACTACCACCTCATACAGCACCTATTAACTACCACCTCATACAGCACCTATTAACTACCACCTCATACAATACCTATTAACTACCACCTCATACAATACCTATTAACTACCACCTCATACAATACCTATTAACTACCACCTCATACAATACCTATTAACTACCACCTCATACAATACCTATTAACTACCACCTCATACAATACCTATTAACTACCACCTCATACAGCACCTATTAACTACCACCCCATACAATACCTATTAACTACCACCCCATACAATACCTATTACTAACACCTCATACAGCACCTATTAACTACCACCCCATACAATACCTATTAACTACCACCCCATACAATACCTATTACTACCACCTCACACAACACCTATTAACTACCACCTCATACACTTTCAGCAATACTCATTATATGTCTACTAATCTATCAATACAGCACAAACGGTCTATTGCATCTTGCGTATTGCAGGAGACGTCTGCAAGCCAGCATGCCATCAACCAAACCATCAATTCAAATTTACTAAGACATAGTGGTTGACTAGATGCGGGTAGCCTGGTTGCTTGAAGAAGTTTGAAGACTGTCAACTACACGATGCTTGCTAAGACACATGTGCAATAATTACGTTTACTAAGGAAGTGTTTCGTACGTGTCTCTTTCTTGTTAACTAAGTAATGTGTATCATTGTAAGTGGAACCTAACCTGACCAGACTGTGACCTAGTTTGACCTGATTGTGACCAGGACTGACCTGAGTAGTCATCCTTAGGTCTAATAGTCCACTCTTCACTCTCGTCAAAGTGAACGTCTCCTCCGTAGCTGCCAAACTCGTACGGGTAGTAAGCGTGAGCCAGGATACCACTGGGACCATCGAAGGCGTACCTGGGAGATGTGAGAGGTACTTAGACTTGTACGATACCCGAGAGAGACGTGGTCCCAGGTGTGTGGGGGATGGGGTCAGTTAGTGGTTCCATGTGTGTGACGGGGTCAGCTGGTGGTCCCAAGTGTGTGTGTGTGTGTGTGTGTGTGTGTGTGTGTGTGTGTGTAGATCTGGAGGTCCCAGGTCTACATATACACCTAGTGGTTCCAAGTTTACACACACACACAAACACACAAATGGTGGTTCCAGGTCTACATACGCACCTGGTGGTTCCAGGTCTACACACACACCTGGTGGTTCCAGGTCTACACACACACCTGGTGATCCCAGGTCTACACACACACCTGGTGGTCCCAGGTCTATACACACACCTGGTGGTCCCAGGTCTACACACACACCTGGTGGTCCTAGGTCTATACACACATCTGGTGATCCCAGGTCTACACACACACCTGGTGGTCCTGGGTCTATACACACACCTGGTGGTCCCAGGTCTATACACACACCTGGTGGTTCCAGGTCTATACACACACCTGGTGGTCCCAGGTCTACACACACACCTGGTGGTCCTAGATCTATACACACACCTGGTGGTCCCAGGTCTACACACACACCTGGTGGTCCCAGGTCTATACACACACCTGGTGATCCCAGGTCTACACACACACCTGGTGGTCCCAGGTCTATACACACACCTGGTGATCCCAGGTCTACACACACACCTGGTGGTCCCAGGTCTATACACACACCTGGTGGTCCCAGGTCTACACACACACCTGGTGGTCCTAGGTCTATACACACACCTGGTGGTCCCAGGTCTATACACACACCTGGTGGTCCCAGGTCTACACACACACCTGGTGGTCCTAGATCTATACACACACCTAATAATGAGGCAGGCGAATATTCTTTGTTTGTAAGTTTGGATTTGAGAGGGACATGCCAAGCATGGGCCAATAGACCTATTACGATATTCTCCATTTCTCATGCTCATATATTCTATCGTAAGAGAGTAGATAGAGTGGATCCTGTCTTACCCGTCACTATGGTCGTAACTAGCGAAGTATATAATGATATCAGCGGTGGTGTGGTTGACTTCAAGGAACTGCAGGTTGGAATAAGTGCTCCAGGCGTCGAAGGCTCGACGTAGCTCCCTCTGTACGTTCTCTTTTGTACGTAGTTGTGGAGACCAGTTGGCCACTCTGGAAGGGTAATGGAGGACAGTGGTGTGGTTACTGGTCAACGAAATAGGGTTGTGGTGGTGGGAGGGAGAAGTTGCTGGGTGGTGATGGTGGTGGGTGATAGTAGCGGTGGTGGTGATGGTGGTAGTGATGGTGGGTGGTAGTAATGGTGGTAGCGCAGTGTTAGAGCATCAAGATGTGTCTACCTACCCACAGGTTGTGTCTACTTACCCACAGGTTGTGTCTACCTACCCACGGGTTGTGTCTACCTACCCACAGGTTGTGTCTACCTAACCACAGGTTGTGTCTACTTACCCACAGGTTGTGTCTACCTACCCACGGGTTGTGTCTACCTACCCACAGGTTGTGTCTACCTACCCACAGGTTGTGTCTACTTACCCACAGGTTGTGTCTACCTACCCACGGGTTGTGTCTACTACCCACAGGTTGTGTCTACCTAACCACAGGTTGTGTCTACCTACCCACAGGTTGTGTCTACCTACCCACAAGGTTGTGTCTACCTACCCACTGGGTTGTGTCTACCACCCACAGGTTGTGTCTACCTACCCACAGGTTGTGTCTACCCACCCACAGGTTGTGTCTACCTACCCACAGGTTGTGTCTACCTACCCACAGGTTGTGTCTACCTACCCACAGGCTGACACAGTCTACAGTCTACCTCTATTTTCATAATTTCTCCTCTTTATTAATGTCTGGGCTGATTAATGGGACTCACGAGGGTCATTAATGGGACTCACGAGGATCATTAATGGGACTCACGAGGGTCATTAATGGGACTCACGAGGATCATTAATGGGACTCACTAGGGTCATTAATGGGACTCACGAGGGTCATTAATGGGACTCACGAGGGTCATTAATGGGACTCACGAGGGTCATTAATGGGACTCACGAGGATCATTAATGGGACTCACGAGAGTCATTAATGGGACTCACGAGGGTCATTAATGGGACTCACGAGGATCATTAATGGGACTCACGAGTCATTAATGGGACTCACGAGGGTCATTAATGGGACTCACGAGGATCATTAATGGGACTCACGAGGGTCATTAATGGGACTCACGAGGGTCATTAATGGGACTCACGAGGATCATTAATGGAACTCACAAGAGTCATTAATGGGACTCACGAGGGTCATTAATGGGACTCACGAGGATCATTAATGGGACTCACGAGGGTCATTAATGGGACTCACGAGGGTCATTAATGGGACTCACGAGGATCATTAGTGGGACTCACGAGGATCATTAATGGGACTCACGAGGGTCATTACTGGGACTCACGATGATCATTAATGGGACTCACGAGGGTCATTAATGGGACTCACGGGGATCATTAATGGAACTCACGAGGATCATTACTGGGACTCACGATGATCATTAATGGGACTCACGAGGGTCATTAATGGGACTCACGAGGATCATTAATGGGACTCACGAGGATCATTAATGGAACTCACGAGGATCATTACTGGACTCACGATGATCATTAATGGGACTCACGAGGGTCATTAATGGGACTCACGGGGATCATTACTGGGACTCACGAGGATCATTAATGGGACTCACGAGGATCATTAATGGGACTCACGAGAGTCATTAATGGGACTCACGAGAGTCATTAATGGGACTCACGAGGATCATTAATGGGACTCACGAGGATCATTAATGGGACTCACGAGGGTCATATATGGGACTCACGAGGATAATTAATGGGACTCACGAGGGTCATTAATGGGACTCACGAGGGTCATTAATGGGACTCAGGAGAGTCATTAATGGGACTCACGAGGGTCATTAATGGAACTCACGAGGATCATTAATGGGACTCACGAGGATCATTAATGGGACTCGCGAGGGTCATTAATGGGACTCACGAGGATCATTAATGGGACTCACGAGGGTCATTAATGGGACTCACGAAGGTCATTAATTGGACTCACGAGAGTCATTAATGGAACTCACGAGGATCATTAATGGGACTCACAAGAGTCATTAATGGGACTCACGAGAGTCATTAATGGGACTCACGAGGATCATTAATGGGACTCACGAGGATCGTTAATGGGACTCACGAGAGTCATTAATGGGACTCACGAGAGTCATTAATGGGACTCACGAGGGTCATTAATGGAACTCACGAGGATCATTAATGGGACTTACGAGGATCATTAATGGGACTCACGAGGATCGTTAATGGGACTCACGAGGATCATTAATGGGACTCACGAGGGTCATTAATGGGACTCACGAGGGTCATTAATGGGACTACACGAGGATCATTAATGGGACTACACGAGGGTCATTAATGGGACTACATGAGGGTCATTAATGGGACTCACGAGGGTCATTAATGAGACTCACGAGGATCATTAATGGGACTACACGAGGATCATTAATGGGACTCACGAGGATCATTAATGGGACTCACGAGGATCATTAATGGGACTCACGAGGATCATTAATGGGACTCAAGAGGGTCATTAATGGGACTCACGAGGGTCATTAATGGGACTCACGAGGATCATTAATGGGACTCACGAGGGTCATTAATGGGACTCACGAGGATCATTAATGGGACTCACGAGGGTCATTAATGGGACTCACGAGGATCATTAATGGGACTCACGAGGATCATTAATGGGGCTCACGAGGATCATAATGGGACTCACGAGGATCATTAATGGGACTCACGAGGTCATTAATGGGACTCACGAGGATCATTAATGGGACTCACGAGGATCATTAATGGGACTCACGAGGATCATTAATGGGACTCACGAGGATCATTAATGGGACTCACGAGGATCATTAATGAGACTCACGAGGATCATTAATGGGACTCACGAGGATCATTAATGGGACTCACGAGGATCATTAATGAGACTCACGAGAATCATTAATGGGACTCACGAGGGTCATTAATGGGACTCACGAGGGTCATCAATGGGACTCACGAGGATCATTAATGGGACTCACGAGGATCATTAATGGGACTCACGAGGATCATTAATGGGACTCACGAGGATCATTAATGAGACTCAGGAGGATCATTAATGGGACTCACGAGGGTCATTAATGGGACTCACGAGGATCATTAATGGGACTCGCGAGGATCATTAATGGGACTCACGAGGATCATTAATGGGACTCACGAGGATCATTAATGAGACTCACGAGGATCATTAATGGGACTCACGAGGGTCATTAATGGGACTCACGAGGGTCATTAATGGGACTCACGAGGATCATTAATGGGACTCGCGAGGATCATTAATGGGACTCACGAGGATCATTAATGGGACTCACGAGGATCATTAATGAGACTCACGAGGATCATTAATGGGACTCACGAGGGTCATTAATGGGACTCACGAGGGTCATTAATGGGACTCACGAGGATCATTAATGGGACTCACGAGGATCATTAATGGGACTCACGAGGATCATTAATGGGACTCACGAGGATCATTAATGAGACTCACGAGGATCATTAATGGGACTCACGAGGGTCATTAATGGGACTCACGAGGATCATTAATGGGATCACGAGGATCATTAATGGGACTCACGAGGATCATTAATGGGAAATCACGAGGATCATTAATGGGACTCACGAGGATCATTAATGGGACTCACGAGGATCATTAATGGGACTCACGAGGATCATTAGGGACTCACGAGGATCATTAATGGGACTCACGAGGATCATTAATGGGACTCACGAGGATCATTAATGGGACTCACGAGGATCATTAATGGGACTCACGAGGATCATTAATGGGACTCACGAGGATCATTAATGGGACTCACGAGGGTCATTAATGGGACTCACGAGGATCATTAATGGGACTCACGAGGGTCATTAATGGGACTCACGAGGATCATTAATGGGACTCACGAGGATCATTAATGGGACTCACGAGGATCATTAATGGGACTCGCGAGGATCATTAATGGGACTCGCGAGGATCATTAATGGGACTCACGAGGGTCATTAATGGGACTCGCGAGGATCATTAATGGGACTCACGAGGATCATTAATGGGACTCACGAGGATCATTAATGGGACTCACGAGGATCATTAATGGGACTCACGAGGATCATTAATGGGACTCACGAGGATCATTAATGGGAATCACGAGGATCATTAATGGGACTCACGAGGATCATTAATGGAATCACGAGGATCATTAATGGGACTCACGAGGATCATTAATGGGACTCACAAGGATCATTAATGAGACTCGCGAGGATCATTAATGGGACTCACGAGAATCATTAATGGGACTCGCGAGGATCATTAATGGGACTCACGAGGATCATTAATGGGACTCACGAGGATCATTAATGGGACTCACGAGGATCATTAATGGGACTCACGAGGATCATTAATGGGACTCACGAGGATCATTAATGGGACTCACGAGGATCATTAATGGGACTCACGAGGATCATTAATGGGACTCACGAGGATCATTAATGGACTCACGAGGGTCATTAATGGGACTCACGAGGATCATAATGGGACTCACGAGGTCGTTAATGGGACTCACGAGGATCATTAATGGGACTCACGAGGTCATTTAATGGGACTCACGAGGATCATTAATGGGACTCACGAGGATCATTAATGGGATTCACGAGGATCATTAATGGGACTCACGAGGGTCATTAATGGGACTCACGAGGGTCATTAATGGGACTCACGAGGATCATTTAAAGGGACTCACGAGGATCATTAATGGGATTCACGAGGATCATTAATGGGACTCACGAGGACATTAATGGGACTCACGAGGATCATTAATGGGACTCACGAGGATCATTAATGGGACTCACGAGGATCATTAATGGGACTCACGAGGATCATTAATGGGACTCACGAGGATCATTAATGGGACTCACGAGGATCATTAATGGGACTCACGAGGATCATTAATGGGACTCACGAGGATCATTAATGGGACTCACGAGGATCATTAATGGGACTCACGAGGATCATTAATGGGACTCACGAGGATCATTAATGGGACTCACGAGGGTCATTAATGGGACTCACGAGGATCATTAATGGGACTCACGAGGATCATTAAGGCTGTATTTCAAGAATACTCTACTAAATCTAGGATTACTGTATACAATATACATTCAATTAAAGATATACAGCTCTCTGTGTATATGTTCTGTATATTCAGAACACTCTCCTAGATGGCGTGGTTCTGTCTCCTAGATAGCGTGGTTCTGTCTCCTAGATAGCGTGGTTCTGTCTCCTAGATGGCGTGGTTCTGACTCCTAGATAGCGTGGTTCTGTCTCCTAGATAGCGTGGTTCTGTCTCCTAGATAGCGTGGTTCTGTCTCCTAGATAGCGTGGTTCTGTCTCCTAGATAGCGTGGTTCTGTCTCCTAGATGGCGTGGTTCTCAACACAGTAACAACGCGGTGTTCAACACTTGGGTGAACCACTCCACCTTGGAATAATAGTAATTGGTTTATTTATATGTTGGGTTTAAGTTAAAATATTAACCTAACATTATCTCACACTTAGATGTAATTATTTCAGGGCGTTTGTAAACACATTCTGCCAGTGGCAAGTTAATTGTAAGAGATTAACCTGACAGCAAGTGGCACCTGTGTCCTCTCAACCAGGAAAGTACCTAAATCTTCCCTACATTCATCACAGGGAAGTGCCCACGTCTCTATCACCTCCCGCCCGGTAAGTGCTCAGTCTTTACAGTTAGAAATATTAAGAATGCAATCTTGTTTAAGTTGGGTGTGCCAAGATCCCCTGTGTGGCATTGTTTGTCTAGCCTGGGGGAACCCAGTGTTTGTCTAGCCTGGGGGAACCCAGTGTTTGTCTAGCCTGGGGGAACCCAGTGTTTGTCTAGCCTGGGGGAACCCAGTGTTTGTCTAGCCTGGGGGAACCCAGTGTTTGTCTAGCCTGGGGGAACCCAGTGTTTGTGTAGCCTGGGGGAACCCAGTCTGGGGGACTTAATGAAGGCGATTTTATTATTTTTTAAACACCTGCCGTCTTCCACCGAGATAAAGAAACTCTACAAAATAAAAGGAAATAAATATAACAATAATTATGTGTACCTATATCTGAATAAACTTGCTTACTTTAGTCATTCAGTCGTTCATTGTCTTGCCAAAGGCGTGTTGATATCAGAGTTTGGATGATCCTCTGAAGTGCAACATTCCAGGCATCCTTCAGAGTGCAGCCGCTGTACTTCCCACCTCCAGGACTGTAGCATCATCTCTCTCTCTCTCTCCCTCTCTCTCTCCCTCTCTCTCTCTCTCTCTCTCTCTCTCTCTCTCTCTCTCTCTCTCTCTCTCTCTCTCTCTCTCTCTCTCTCTCTCTCTCTCTCTCTCTCTCTCTCGCTCTCTAATACTCACAGATAAGTAATCTTCCTCTTCTTCCATCCATCACCACCTAAGATGAATCGTTTACGCCGGATGTGTTCCCCCTGGTCTTCGTATGGATCCACGTCAGGCAGTCCACAGCGAGGTGTCTCCATCAGCTGATGATGACACCAATAACACAAAAGAATCAATGCTTAATTTAACTTTATTATGTACCCCATACCCATCCTGTGGGTGGTAGCCGCCCCATATCCATCCTGTGGGTGATAGTCAAAATATTACAGAGATACATAATGGGTCGAGGGACTGGGTCCTGAAGTACAGAAAGGCAGAATAATTAATGATAATGGAACTTGAAAAATGTGGGAGTCTTGAGTATGTGGATCAAGAAAATGTTAGAAGATAATGTAAAGTGAAGGCAGTACAGTGATTAAGAATGCACAAACAACTCGCACATAAAGGAAATGGTCCACGACGGACCGAAACGTCTTTGTAAGCTCAGGTCAGCAAACAAAGGGGGACAGCAGAGGGCAGCAAGGGACTAGCTCCCTTAAGGTTTACTATACTAATAGCAGGAGTGTAAGAAATAAGATAGATGAGCTAAGATTAATTGCAAGTGCAGGAAACATAGATATTATTGCTATAACAGAGACCTGGCTCAATCTGAAAGATAGAGAGATGCCCTCTGAATGTCACATACAAGGCTATAAATTATTCCACACTGACAGGGTCAACAGGAAAGGTGGTGGAGTAGCGATGTATGTCAGAGACAATTTAAATTGTTGTGTTAGACAAGATATTAAATTAGAAGCGTCAGCCACTGAATCTGTTTGGTTACAGCTTCTCGAGGGCCGAGAAAAACTAATTTTGGGTGTGATTTACAGGGCCCCAAATCTTGATAGGGAGTGCAGTAAACTTCTATGGGACGAAATTCGTAAGGCATCTACATACGAAAATGTTGTGCTAATGGGAGATTTCAACTATAGACAGATTGACTGGAGCAATTTGACAGGAAATTTAGAGTCAGGTGACTTTCTTGATACGATCCAGGATTGTTTTTTAAAACAGTTTGTGACAGAGCCAACTAGGGGAAATAACCTCCTTGACTTGGTTCTTGCCAGTAGGGAAACACTAATTAATAATCTTGAGGTTAATGATGAGCTTGGGGAAAGTGATCACAAATCACTCAGTTTTAATATATCATGGAATTGCCCTAATAATGGCAATCAAGTCTCCGTCCCTGACTTTCGCTTGGCTGATTTCATAGGACTGAAAAATTACTTAGGTGGGCTGAACTGGAATGACCTGACTAAGGGTCAGGTAGGTGGTGATGGTTGCCGATATGATGCTTTCCAGGGCATAGTTCTAGCTGCTCAGTCAAATTATGTTCCAAATAGGGAAATCAGATCAAACAAAAATGATCCTAAATGGATGAACAATAGATTAAAATATCTGATTGGTCAAAAGAGAGGCATATATAGGCAAATCAAAAGAGGAGAGGGGCAATTGAGAAATCGATATATTCAGTTAAAGAGAGAAATAAAAAAGGGAATTAGAAAAGCAAAAAGAGATTATGAGGTTAAAGTTGCAAGAGAATCGAAGACTAACCCAAAAGGATTCTTTCAGGTATACAGAAGTAAGATCAGGGACAAGATAGGCCCACTCAAAAGTTCCTCGGGTCAGCTCACTGACAGTGATAAGGAAATGTGTACATTGGGTGCATTGGCATAAGCCTGTAGGAGACTTGGACCTGCCTCGCATGGGCCAGTAGGCCTTCTGCAGTGTTCCATCGTTCTTATGTTCTTATGTTCTTATGTTCTTATGTGCGGGTTATTTGTGTATTGTTCCAGTCACGGTATTGTACCTTTTTGTTATTAAGAAAGCAGAGGAAGAGAGGGAATGTGAGAGAGGGAAGATAAAGTGGCGCTGACACCATGGCAAACGAGGACACTGAGGGAGCACCGACCACCAACTTTGCTTACAAGCTCCTCAAGTTGTTGCTTAGCCAGCAGTCATAAAATAAGCTAAGATTTTATTCGGATTTTTAACCTCGGAGGGTTAGCCACCCACGATAACCCGAGAAAGTCAGTGCGTCATCGAGGACTGTCTAACTTATTTCCATTGTGGGCCTCAATCTTGTCCCCCAGGATGCGACCCACATTAGTCGACTAACACCCAGGTACCTACTTGCTCGGTGAACAGGACAACAGGTGTAATGAAATGTGTCGAATGTTTCCACCCCGCCGGGAATCGAACCTGGACCCTCAGCGTGTGAAGCGAGAGCTTTGCCAGCCAGGCCACGGGGCCCCAGAATGTTCAATTCTGTTGATGTCCCGGGAAATGAACTAGCAGATGTCGAGGCTAAGTCTGCTGTAGCCAGCCCACACTCTGCTACTTCATGGACCACACCCTCACTTGTCTTTAACAAGAGACGGTCCTGGTGGGTCCTACATACCGGCAGCAAGTTCTACAAAGCCCCCACATGACGTCTTTGACCCTCCAACCTCAACCATTATTTTGGGACGAATCTCTGTGGACTGAAGGTTGACTACAACGCAGCTCGTCCATATACACCTGACAGAAGGTGCAACTACATAGCACATTGTGGCCTGCCAATGACTGTGGTACACACGCTTAAATTTGTCCTAGGTTTACGTCCTTCCGTCATAGTTTTATGACCGAGGTGTCTGTAGGGATCTCGGAGAACTTTCAGGGGAGGTTTGTGGCGTTAATAATGTAATGAGCATTTAATTTTGCAATGATAATATTGTTTGGTTTACGTGTTTCTAGGTTCTGTTTTTAATTTGTATTTTCGTTTTTGTATTGCATATAAGATTTATTGATAAAACTAGCGAGTGACCCACATGGGTAGAGTCCTGTTACAAACTCTAGACTTGGAAAATGCCTATAAACTACAAGATTTATTAAGATCTATCTTCTGCCAGGTCTATTACGACCCCATAGCAATGTAATAGTGACTGCAATCTCTCTCTCTCTCTCTCTCTCTCTCTCTCTCTCTCTCTCTCTCTCTCTCTCTCTCTCTCTCTCTCTCTCTCTCTCTCTCTCTCTCTCTCTCACACACACACACACAGGCCAAGAGCTGTGACTCGACAACCGCAACCACAACTAGGCGAGTACACACACACACACACCAAGTGTAAAGTCATGAAGATTGGGGAAGGGCAAAGAAGACCGCAGACGGAGTACAGTCTAGGGGGCCAGAGACTACAAACCTCACTCAAGGAAAAAGATCTTGGGGTGAGTATAACACCAGGCACATCTCCTGAAGCGCACATCAACCAAATAACTGCTGCAGCATATGGGCGCCTGGCAAACCTCAGAACAGCATTCCGACATCTTAATAAGGAATCATTCAGGACCCTGTACACCGTGTACGTTAGGTCCATATTGGAGTATGCGGCACCAGTTTGGAACCCACACCTAGCCAAGCGCGTAAAGAAACTAGAGAAAGTGCAAAGGTTGGCAACAAGACTAGTCCCAGAGCTAAGAGGTATGTCCTACGAGGAGAGTTTAAGAGAAATCGACCTGACGACACTGGAGGACAGGAGAGATAGGGAGGACATGATAACGACATACAAAATACTGAGAGGAATTGACAAGGTGGACAAAGACAGGATGTTCCAGAGATGGGACACAGCAACAAGGGGACACAGTTGGAAGTTGAAGACACAGATGAATCACAGGGATGTTAGGAAGTATTTCTTCAGCCACAGAGTAGTCAGTAAGTGGAATAGTTTGGGAAGCGAAGTAGTGGAGGCAGGATCCATACATAGCTTTAAGCAGAGGTATGATAAAGCTCACGGTTCAGAGAGAGTGACCTAGTAGTGGCCAGTGAAGAGGCGGGGTCAGGAGCTATGAATCGACCCCTGCAACCACAATTAGGTGAGTACACCTAGTTGAGTACACACACACACACACACACACACACACACACACACACACTCGGGACCGTCCACAGGATCGGCTTGACAATAAACTAGCCAATTCGGTGACAAAACCTACAAATCTAATCTCTGGCTCACTCTCTCACTCTCTCACCTGCAGAGTAGCGTTATCGATGACTCCCGTCTGTGGTATGTTACCAAACTTCTGGACTCTGATGATATCCTTTTCCAGCGAGCGAGTGTCGAAGTAGGAGGCGGCGTTGATGTCTTCCTTAGGCAAGTAACCGAACTTCTGCATGAACCTCATCTGTCAACACCACCACACTATCAATATCATTTTCTTTTCACATGTAGATAAAAAAAAAGGTTAGTTTATAAATTAATTAAAAAATTATTCGATGACCTTTTCGTATTTTAATTTCGAAAAATAATGAAATGTTTTAAATACGTTAAGACAGATTTCAAAAATTGAGTTTTTGTGAATCAGAGACGTTGGCAGAATTATCAGTGACACTCTGTGAAGGAGGGTTAAAATTCCCTCAGTTTTCCCTCCCCTCTTTCCCCTTCCCTCTTGAAGGGGTAGGGGGAGGATTCCTTCATGCTTGAGAGGGAAGGGAGAGGGTTTGCCTTTTTTCCTTTGAAGGCATTAGAGCTCTAATTCCTCGGATCAAGTTCCCCCAGGTGCTGCATGACCACGGTTCGACCCTTTCGTTCAACTTTCCCTTCACCCGAACACATTTTTTATTACAAATTAGACTTTATTAATAATGATCAATAATGATAATAATGTTAATCCTCGTCTAAATGGTCAGAACATTAATATAATTAATATAACAATGATTAATAATGTAATACTCTTCTCGACAGTCATAATTATAACAGCAGTATTCACAGCTATAACACAGCAGTATTCACAGCTATAACACAACAGTATTCACAGCTATAACACAACAGTATTCACAGCTATAACATAGTATTCACAGCTATAACACAGCAGTATTCACAGCTATAACACAGCAGTTACTTACAGCTAGCACCTGTACTTTTGACACTGGTTCTGGAGTTGAGAAGTTGAAATCAGACGAGGGTGTGATAGGGGCGTGTGCGGGCGTGGACGTGGAACTGTCGGAATACGGGTCGTCACGAATGTGGTTAACGTTGCTAGCGTTGGAGTCTGCCTTCCTCCTGTAGATGGGTGAGAGGGGAGTGTGAAGGACACCAGCAGGAGCGGCCCACACTGCAGGAGGCAGCACCAGCAGCACCAGTGCTGCCCTCACACTTGGTGACACACCCATCATTGTGTACCTGGTGCCACACACGAAAGAAACTCGTTAAAGACACAACTCCAGACCTGGCACTAGTGGAGTAACTACCCTAGACCTGGCACTAGTGGAGTAACTACCCTAGACCTGGCACTAGTAGAGTAACTACCCTAGACCTGGCACTAGTAGAGTAACTACCCTAGACCTGGCACTAGTAGAGTAACTACCCTAGACCTGGCACTAGTGAAGTAACTACCCTAGACCTGGCACTAGTGGAGTAACTACCCTAGACCTGGCACTAGTAGAGTAACTACCCTAGACCTGGCACTAGTGAAGTAACTACCCTAGACCTGGCACTAGTGGAGTAACTACCCTAGACCTGGCGCTAGAGAACACTGAATTAAGAAATAGTCAGATGTTAGAATCAGACGTTTCGTGGCAACCACATCTGACAATCACATAATATATAATGCTGTATTAATAACATAAATTTCACCCGTCTTGAGTCTCAATTATAAGTGAACATTGTCTTGAGTCAAGGAGAGCAAACTTGTCTGCCACAGGGTCTTGCAAGATGCACTCTTGACTCATAACCATTTGCAGGAAGAGGCACTGTACCCACGACAGTCACAAGGTCTTGCAAGAGGCACCACTATACACATGACAGTCACAAGGTCTTGCAAGAGGCACCACTGTACCCATGACAGTCACAAAGTCTTGCAAGAGGCACCACTGTACACATGACAGTCACAAGGTCTTGCAAGAGGCACCACTGTACACATGACAGTCACAAGGTCTTGCAAGAGGCACCACTGTACCCATGACAGTCACAAGGTCTTGCAAGAGGCACCACTGTACCCCATGACAGTCCACAAGGTCTTGCAAGAGGCACCACTGTACCCATGACAGTCACAAGGTCTTGCAAGAGGCACCACTGTACACATGACAGTCACAAGGTCTTGCAAGAGGCACCACTGTACCCATGACAGTCACAAGGTCTTGCAAGAGGCATCACTGTACCTATGACAATCACAAGGTCGTACAAGAGGCACCACTGTACCCATGACAGTAACAAGGTCGTGCATGGATACACTTAATACATCACAATGCGAGAACATTCCGTGCACAAGGGCGGACCCTCACGCACCTCCCTTCCAGCGTCAGCCAAACATTATCTACTTTCAGTAATGTTCAGTACACAAGACTTAAACTGCTGCACTTCACTGTGAAGAAGCAGGACTTAGAGAAAGAGAGAGAGAGAGAGAGAGAGAGAGAGAGAGAGAGAGATGACGAGGGAGATTGGGCTACCCGTGGTGTTGATATCCCAGCCTCAACTCTGAGGAGGTTCTCTTTCTCTCGCCCTGAGATGGGACATCACGTCTGCTGCAACCTTGGTAGGAGGATTCTGATTTGATTGGGTTTGGCGACCCTCCTTAACCAGCACTCTCATGCAGCAGTAGTAGTAGCAGTAGCAATAGTAGCAGTAGCAGTAGCAGAAGTAGCAGTAGTAGCAGCAGCAGCAGCCCTGGGCACCACACTACGCTACTACCACTAACACACTCCCTCCCACACTGATGTTGAATCAACCACAGCTGACCCCCGCAATTTATCCCGAGAGAGAGAGAGAGAGAGAGAGAGAGAGAGAGAGAGAGAGAGAGAGAGAGAGAGAGAGAGAGAGAGAGAGAGAGAGAGAGAGAGAGAGAGAGAGAGAGATTGACATAATAACCTTGTTGAGCTCGTTAAGTTCAAGAGAGAGACCGTCCAGAGGGTCAGGGGCTCTAGTGGCGAAGATGGTGGTGGCGAAGATGGTGGTGGCGAAGATGGTGGAGGCGAAGATGGTGGAGGCGAAGATGGTGGTGGCGAAGATGGTGGTGGCGAAGATGGTGGTGGTGGTGGCGAAGATGGTGATGGTGGTGGCGAAGATGGTGATGGTGGTGGCGAAGATGGTGATGGTGGTGGCGAAGATGGTGATGGTGGTGGCGAAGATGGTGATGGTGGTGGCGAAGATGGTGATGGTGGTGGCGAAGATGGTGATGGTGGTGGCGAAGATGGTGATGGTGGTGGCGAAGATGGTGGTGGCGAAGATGGTGGTGGCGAAGATGGTGATGGTGGTATGGTTGGTTTAAGATGGTGGTGTTAGATGGTGGTGTTTAAGATGGTGGGGGTTAGGGTTGGTTAAGATGGTGGTGGTTAAGATGGTGGTGGTTAAGATGGTGGTGGTTAAGATGGTGGTGGTTAAGATGGTGGTGGTTAAGATGGTGGTGGTTAAGATGGGTGTTAATGGTGGTGTTAAGATGGTGGTGGTTAAGATGGTGGTGGTTAAGATGGTGGTGGTTAAGATGGTGGTGGTTAAGATGGTGGTGGTTAAGATGGTGGTGGTTAAGATGTGGTGGTTAAGATGGTGGTGGTTAAGATGGGTGGTGGTTTAAGATGGTGGTGGTTAAGATGGTGGTGGTTAAGATGGTGGTGGTTAAGATGGTGGTGGTTAAGATGGTGGTGGTTAAGATGGTGGTGGTTAAGATGGTGGTGGTTAAGATGGTGGTGGTTAAGATGGTGGTGGTTAAGATGGTGGTGGTTAAGATGGTGGTGGTTAAGATGGTGGTGGTTAAGATGGTGGTGGTTAAGATGGTGGTGGTTAAGATGGTGGTGGTTAAGATGGTGGTGGTTAAGATGGTGGTGGTTAAGATGGTGGTGGTTAAGATGGTGGTGGTTAAGATGGTGGTGGTTAAGATGGTGGTGGTTAAGATGGTGGTGGTTAAGATGGTGGTGGTTAAGATGGTGGTGGTTAAGATGGTGGTGGTTAAGATGGTGGTGGTTAAGATGGTGGTGGTTAAGATGGTGGTGGTTAAGATGGTGGTGGTTAAGATGGTGGTGGTTAGATGGTGGTGGTTAAGATGGTGGTGGTTAAGATGGTGGTGGTTAAGATGGTGGTGGTTAAGATGGTGGTGGTGGCGAAGGTGTTACAAGCCACAGTTTACAACATGAACACTAACAACAATAACAAACAATAAGTGTTGCCAACAGTATTATCAGATAGACACAAGGTAACTAAATAATCTTTGGCACCACTGTTTACTCAGTGTTGTACACGTGTTTTGGTGTGTGTGTGTGTGTGTGTGTGTGTGTGTGTGTGTGTGTGTGTGTGTGTGTGTGTGTGTGTGTGTGTGTGTGTATACTCAACCACTGTACACTGTCAGTGTAACAACAGTCAAGTGGATCATGTTTGTGTGTCAAGAGGTGCCTCGACACTGAGTGACGTCACAACTTACTTGACCCCCTAACTCGTGTGTTGGGCCCACCCCGCCCACTCCTGCCCACCCCGCCCACTCCTGCCCTCAGCCATGAGAATAGGGAGGTCAGTCCCTCAGCCATGAAGAATAGGGAGGTCAGTCCCTCAGCCATAAAAATAGGGAAGTCAGTCCCTCAGCCATGAAAGTAGGGAAGTCAGTCCCTCAGCCATAATGGTAGGGGGGGTCAGTCCCTGAGCCTTGAGACAGGAGAGTTCAACACCTCTATACCATCAGTGGCAAGCGCAGGAAATGCCTCCTAACTGTCTGCTGCCAACATTTACTTCCGGACTTGACTGTACTGTCACCATCATCCTCACAATCTCTCATCATTGTTTCATTATTACACTGCACTTTAGTCTTGTTGCTTAGTTATGGCCGTTTAAATTAGTAAAGCTTTTATCTTAATTAGGTTAGTTTAGGTTCGTCAGGAAACAGGAGAAGTGTTTCCTGACGTGGGTCTTAGTCATATGATGACCCACAGCTGGAGCTTTTGGTCATCTGACCGACGCCTTCCACTGGCTTACCCCTCCACCACTTGAAAAATTATGGTTCTAATTATAACTATTAAGTTACATGAAGTAATTATCGTCAATGATCTTGTATGACTCGTTCATTAAGGACACTTGTCTGATACACTCCCTCCCTCATGTCCTTAAATCATTGTGTCATCCACTCTGTGTTCTCTCTTCTTTATCTCTGCGTCATTCTCTTATGTCTCTCCCTCGTGGCTTCCTTTGTATGAATTTGCTTTTCTTTGTCTGTGTTTTTTTGGCCCAGTGTGTGAGTCAAGCTTTTTGAAGGTCGTGTGGGTGCCCACCTTTTTTGACACCTCCCCCCTGGGTAGTTTTCACTGCCCCAAACCCGGGGTTTATAACCTTAAAAATATTAATAAATAATATAAATAAAATATATATAATTAATATATATAAATATATATATAATAAAATATATATAATATATAAAATAATGTTACATCTATTAAACAATGGAGGTATTTTTGGGTGCAGTTGATGCAGTACCTCGTAATCTGTAAATACCTTTGTAACTTGTCCATTGTGACCATTTCTACCGGGGAGTTCATGACCTTGTAAAATTTTAGTATCAAAATTGGGGGTTTCCCCCCGGGCCCCAAGTATTTTAACTTTTGTAATTTAGGTGGGTTAAAGGGGGGGGGGATAAAAAAATATTAAAACAAACAACGATGAGGAGTTCCCTGGGGGGGATATACCTGGGAATTTGGGGGTCAAGCCCCGGCGAGCGTCGAACCAGACCCTTTGAGACTCTTTGCTTACGTTTTTTAAAAACAATGTTATGCTGTAGCCTTTCAAAATTTTTCAGTGTTAATTTTTACTTTGAGGTGAAATGGAGTTGAAGATGGGTGAGGTTAATTTTTGTGTTCATGTTCGGTTGTGCTTAAAAGGGAAAAGCCCACCCAAGGGGTTTAATACTCTGGTGAGTGAGACGACCCCAAAGGTTTAACCTGGTAGTGAGACACCCAAAGGTTATACCTGGTGAGTGAGACGACACCAAGGTTATACTCGGGTGAGTGAGACGACACCGAGGTTAAATTGTGAGGGGGAGACGACACCGAGGTTATACCTGGGGAGTGAACGACACCGAGTTATACTCTGGTGAGTGAGACGAACCGGGGTTATCTCTGGTGATGAGACAAACCCCAAGGGTTATACTCTTGGTGAGTGAGACGACACCGAGGTTATACCCCTGGTGAGTGAGACGACCCGAGTTAAACCTGTGGGGTAACGACACCGAGGTTATACTCTGGTGAGTGAGACGACACCGAGGTTATACTCTGGTGAGTGAGACGACACCAAGGTTATACTCTGGTGAGTGAGACGACACCGAGGTTATACTCTGGTGAGTGAGACACCCCAAAGTTTATCCGGGTGAGGAGACGACACCGAGGTTATACTCTGGTGATGAGACGACAAAAGGTAACTCGGGGTTATGAGACGACCCCCGAGGTTATACCGGTGATAGACACACCGGGGTTATACTCTGGTGAGTGAGACGACACCAAGGTTATACTCTGGTGAGTGAGACGACACCGAGGTTATACTCTGGTGAGTGAGACGACACCGAGGTTATACTCTGGTGAGTGAGACGACACCAAGGTTATACTCTGGTGAGTGAGACGACACCGAGATATAATGGGGGAAACACACCGAGGTTTATACTCTGGTGAGTGGACGCACCAGGTTATACCGGTGAGTGAGACGACCCCAAAGGGTTAACTCTGGTGAGTGAGACAAAATGGGTTAACTCGGGGAGTGAGACGAACCCGAGGTTATCTCGGTGATGAACGACACCAAGGTTAAACTGGTGAGGAGACGACCCCAAGGGGTTATACTCTGGTGGGGTGAGACGCACTGAGGTTAACTCTGGGGTGAACGACACCGAGGTTATACTCGGGTGAGTAGACGACCTGGGGTTTAACTCTGGTGAGTGAGACGACCCCGGGAGGTTATCCCTGGGAGTGAGACGACCCCAAAGGGTTATACCTGGTGAGTGAGACACCCCAAGGGTTATACTCGGGGTGAGTAACACACCAAAGGTTATACTCGGGTGATGAGACGACACCAAAGGGTTATACTCTGGTGAGTGAGACGCACCAAGTAACCTGGTGAGTGAAGACACCCGAGGTTATACTCTGGTGAGTGGAGACACCCAAGGTTATACTCGGTGAGTGAGCACACCAAGGTTAAACTCTGGGAAGTAGACACACCAAAGGTTAACTCGGTGGTGAACACACTGGGGTATACTCTGGGATGAACACCCCAAAGGGTTATACCTGGTATGAGACGACACCAAGGTTATACTCTGGGAATGAGAGCACTGAGGTTTTATATTTCCGGTGAGTGGGGAACGAAACCAATTTATACCGGGTGATGAGACACACCAACGTATACTCTGGGGGTGAACACCCCAAAGGTTTACTCGGGATGAGACGACACCGAGGTTATACTCGGTAGTGAACGGCACCGAGGTTTACTCCTGGGGGATGAGACGACCCAAGTATACTCTGTTGGTGAGACGATACCGGGGTTTATACCTGGGTTGATGAGACGACACGATTTACTCGGGGAGTGAGACACATGAGGTTATACTCTGGTGAGTAGACACACCAAGGTTAACCGGGTGATGAGACGACACCAAGGTATCCCTTTTGGAGTGAACGCCCCATTTACTCTGGTGATGAGAGACCCCAAAGGTATACTCTGGGATGAACGACACTGGGGTTTTATACTCTGGTAGTGGACCACCGGGGTTATACTCGGGAGTGAGACAC